TCGATCGGAATAACCCGAATGCCGAGATCAATGCCCACCCGGATCAGGAACCATCAGGTGCCGCATGATCTTTTATTTCAACTTTCCTTGATTGCTTTCTCAACGATCACCCTTTCTGCCTGGTGCACACTGCGATGTCGACCGTCACTGGCAATGCCTCTGACATATTTCATATATATTCTAATTACTTCGCTACCAGTTACTAGGTATTTTACTATAAAACCCCTACTTACAGCTCTGTATTCTAGTCTATTCTCCAGAGCTTAATCGGATTGTCTCAAACCTATCTCTTTCTGTATCGCCAGTCGCCTACGTCGCAGTAACCCTGCTAGTTAAGGCTCTGTGCTGACACATTCATTGGTCAGACATTTCACAGAACCGCAGTCCGCATCACAATGCTCAACACTGGTCGTATTTCTTTTGGTCAGATCCAACTCTGTGATTGCACAACGCTGGGACCCATGGTCAGAAAATGTTATGAAGACGAAAAAAAAAGACCTAAACCAATCAATACAAAGTACTATGGTGGCTCGCTCTGACATGTAAACGGTATAATAGTATTCCGAGCACATCCATTTGGCGGGTGTGTGCATTTCACCACTGGTTCCTCGAGTCGACATACATCATGATTTTAGTGCTTCAAAATAATAATATTCAATAATTTTGAACCCCACGGCCGAGGGGCAGTGAGCTTTGCTATAGCACGAAGCATGTATAGACAGCACTGTAGGATCCATGCCTTCCTTGTTCTTCTAGCTGCGATTTGCAGCAATATGGCTCAGCCGGGATACCGACTCCACTTCTTTCAAGAGTCAAATTTGTATCAATCTATTTCGACTTCCTCAGGTTACATGTCCTATACCCGACTCCAAATTCAACCGCGGCTTCGAAATTTGACTATCCCTCCCATGTGTATATCCTGAATGATGTTTTGACCATGGAGCCAATTTGTTTTTTGACCAGTTGAAGTATGATGTTTCAGCAGAAATTCAGAATTGTGCGGTTGCTGAAGACTAATCCACTCTTGTTTTTTATTCTGTCGGTTACGGCCAAGGGGTGTCTGGGCCGTGAATGCCGAACCCAGACCAGGGTGGTTGGTTCAGCCGCGAAGTTGAAAAGTGAAAACCGGGAGTCAGTTATTTTTGGCTGGAAAATGGTCCAGAGGGGTAGTTCTGAACGTTTTACACCCATTTCAAGGTCCACATACATTCTTCCTACCCTAAATCTCGACCAGGTTGGGAATTGTGATGGCCGGGAGTGTCGGAATCAGAGGTTGTTGATGCTAAATTCAAATTGGTATCGAAAGTGCTGACAGGGAATGAGAGTAGGTAAGAATATGCTTCTGTGACCATACAGTACTTACCACAGTAGCCTCTTGTACTCGTTGGATGCATTCCTACTACAGGCACACATTTTACCTTCAGAATATGACAGTGTCTGGAAATTAATCATTGCAACATCCGGATACAAAGTTCCTAACACATCCCTTTCAATTAGTAGAGTATTGACGTAACTTCATGGGAAGACCCTTGTTCGAACCAAGGTCAGGCCGGTTCGTTTTTTGCCTCCGAGTTGTTGGTTGTTCCTGCACCCTTTTTAAATAAAAATTCTTCTTGCTATATTATTATTAAGTTACTGGGTGACTTCCCATAACGATTAAAAAATGTTTTCAGGATATTTTGAAGCTTTCCGACCAAACTCCGCGACAGCTGTCGGGACCCCATCAGTTCGGAGGCCCCGAAGGGGCAGGAATTTATTCGAATCTACTAAAATCTGAAGAGGGGTACCCCCCCCCCCTCTTCAGATTATAATAAAGCTGAATAAAATGTTTGGCGGAGTGACGATGCTTCCTGCCATCCTCTTCAATGTCCAAGTGGCCGATTTGCCTCAGGAAAACTTCAGTGGGCTCTCATCGCATCTCGGAATCCATTCCGGCCGGTCTTCCTCCAAAATGGCTGAACTCAGATTGTGGTTTTATTCCCGTGAAACTTAATTTTTGGGGTGCTGGATGATTATTCTAAACTTGGCCAACCATCACTGGCACTCTCAAGCAAGCTCAGAAACACTGAAAGATATTTTAATCGTTATGGGAAGTCACCCACTCCCATTTGTACATATGCATACGGAATGCGGAGGCTGGAGCACCGCACTTTTCTAACTTTTCTGCGGGAGCGAACTTGAAATCTTGCATCTTCAAAAGCCTGCTAGTAGTCTCAAACAGAACGTGGAACCCAGCAATCCAGGCTGAAGATAGTTCAGCTGTATTTCTGATTGTAGGAGTCATAAACTGTGGCTTGATGGTGTAGTGCTAACACATCCCTTTCACCTCAGAGGGCCACCAACCGAGTTTCTGGGAAGTCCCTTGTTCGAATCAAGGTCAGGCCGTTTTTTGCCTTGTTTAATTGGTTTTTTTTGCACCATTTTTTCTTCTACTCTCATTTGGATGGAAATCCGGAGGCTGGAGCACGGCACTTTTTTGACTTTTTTTTTGCGGGAGCGAACTTGAAAGCTTGCATCTTCAAAAGCCTGCTAGTAGTCTCGAACAGAACATTGAACCCGGCAATCCAGGCTGAACATAATTCGACCATATTTCTAATTGTCGGAGTCATGAATCATGGCCTGATGGTGTACTGGTAACACATCCCTTTCAATTACGGTAGATATGCACAATTTGAATTCGTGGGAAGTCCCTTGTTCGAATCAAGGTCAGGCCGTTTCGTTTTTCCGCCTCGTTGGTTTTTCCTGCACCATTTCTTCTTCTACTCCCATTTGGATGGAAATCCGGAAGCTGGAGCACCGCACTTTCTGACTTTTTTTGCGGGAGAGAACTTGAAATCTTGCATCTTCAAGAGCCTGTTAGTAGTCTCGAATAGAACATCGAACCCAATCCAATGTCGGAAAAATCCTATTTGGGTTTAAACGGTCTCGAAGGTGTTCCAAGCCGTTCCGTGCCCGGATGCCTCGGGGTGGCTTCCAGGACACATCTGGGAATCTTGGAAGCGCTTCCAAGCCACGCTGCTGGTTCCAAGCTCTGCCATGGATCCCGGGTGCCATAGGATCTTGGAACCACTTCTACGACTACCAAACTCACCCAGGCGCACGCCGCTCGCGCTCGATAATTGATTCATTTGAGAACATTCCAAATCACACGGTAGGAACGGAGCAGATATGCATTCGTAGAATTAGACTGCATATAGGAGTTTGTATGTACGTAGGGAATGGATTGGGCTGAGGGCAACCTGAGGACAAAATTAGTATGAGCGAATGCACAACACAACACAAAGCTAACATACCCAGGCAAAGCGATACGCAAGCGGTCTGGAAAGCGATAATGAGTGAAAGAGGCGGAGAACATAGTGGTTATCCGCACCTGGGTCATCGCCAGTGATAAGTTCTGCGGATTTAGTGATGAACACGGTGAGCCGAAGACACACCTAAATCAGCTGGGGCTGCGATACAAGTGTTCACCACGTACTAGAGGTTGAGGCGGAGGTGGGAGATGGCGGGAGATGGTGGTGGAAGGGAAGGAAGAGAGGTGGAGTAACGCCGTCAGAGAGTGGAGGAGAGTGGTGGTTGATATAGCCGATGACGTCGATGATGTCATCGGCCCACATTCTCCGCCTCTCGCCTCTCGCCCTCTTTCAATGCGACTCGTACCCATCCCTCGACGGACATCGTCCGACACTACACATGTCTCCGATTCCGAGCCAGAACAAGAGCCTGCTCAGCGGCAAAATTTCGCTGAAACTTCATCCCCGTCCAACTCGCTGCGGCTCCAACGCACACCGCTCTCCTCTATCTCCAATACGCTCGTTGCAACTGAGCTCGTTCGAACGCGCACACTCGAGACCCGACTCTCTAAGCTGGAGGATGATATGAGGGAGATAAAGCATGAGCTTCGTTCATTGAAGCACAACAGTGCACCCCATTCTCTTTCTGAAACGACGATGTATCGACGTTGTATTTCTAGAACGAAACAAACCCGAGCATTCCGGTTCTCCTCCCTCTACCCCTGTCGCCAAGCGTCGCCGCACCATACAGAAGACGCCCGGAACCGTCATCCCACGCAGCTCCCTCATGGTGAGCACGCCGGAGCGGGAGCAACTTTCACGCTGGGTGTCCGAAGACATCCAGCAGTCTCTTCGGGAATGTCAACGCAAGCACCTCAACCGGGAACGCGGTGTGGCGGGTCTGTCGGAGAGAGGAAGATTGCGGCGAAGAGCCCATGAGCTTATGTAGGAATGTATCTTATATTTGAATTCTACTTCTCTCTTGCGAAAACGACTTGAGAAATTTTTATGGCGTCACGGAGCACAAGTTTATTCAAGACAATTGTACGGGTACATTAGTTCTGGCGGCGGCGCCTAGTACGAGTAGGTGCGGGAGCGCGTGTAGAAATGTGCGGAGAAGCGCGTGGAGGGGAACGACGAGGGGGAGGGGAAGGGGTCCGCTCTTGCTGCTGGTGAGATGCACCCGCCTCGGGGGACTCGGCGCGGCGCGGCGCGGCGCTGCCGCTCGAAACGCTGCATCCATAGCCTCGACGTCGGCGTTGACGGCCTGCTGGTTCACAGAGGCGCTCTGGCCGAGTGAGTCGTCGGCATTGGGGAAAAGAACCCTGTCCCAGTAGCGCATCAGACCGAGGGCCCACTCCGCCTCGTCGCGCAAGCCGTCGCAGATTTGGCGCTGGAAGTTTTGGAACCAGAACTTGTAGTCGATGCCAGTTTCGTCGCCCTCGCCACCGTAACCTAGCTGGGTGTCAGCTGAGAGGAGCCAGATTAACTGCAAACCAAATCAATAATAATGTAAATCAAATGCAAGATAGAGAACTCGCCCAAACGGCCTTGTTCACCACGGTGATCTGTCTCGGTAACCCAGACGTTCTGAGTGCAATCCCCTACTCACACATAATCTTATCTCGGGAATGATCCGGCTGTTTGACATAAATGATAAGGAAAGATGGGCGGTGATTGCACTAGAACGTCTGGGGCATTTCGTATCGTAATACCCTGCATGCGGTCACCCATCAAATGTCACGCTGCCCTCGATTCCGAGTTGTGTGCACCTCAGAGGACTTCAGGTCAAATACAAGTTGGCTGAAGTGATTTGTCGGGTCAATAAGATTTGGTGATATTTTTTTTCCAATTTTTTTTCCAACGGTTTTTAGAGCATTTGGCATGTGCTTTATCGAAGCTATGCGCCAAACACATCATTTTGAAGACTACAAAACAGGTCCAAAAACGAGCGCAAAATTCTGGAAAAAAATGGAGGCCCCATCCAGAGATCTAGAAAGGGGAGACTGAGCAAGCCCCAGGGCATTTTGGGAGCGGGACAGCGGAGGGGAAAGAGGTGTGACCACATGCAGGGTATCACGATCGAAACGCCCCAGACGTTCGGGTGTAATTTCTGCGCATCTTTTCTTATCATTTATTAAAACTCCGCTGATCTACAGATAAGATAACAGTCGCACCCGAACGTCTGGGTTACCGAGACAGCACGGTGATCTTCACAAGCTCTTCAAGCATTCTGAACGCCGGACGTCGGAATCGATGTGCCGAATTGTGACACGGGCAGCAAAACTCAATGTCACTGACCGAGAAGAGCTTCTTGAATCGTACGGTCTTCACAACTTTGAGGTGCGCGTCTTATTTCCTTCGCTATGCCCAAGTCTGACGAGTCATAGCATTTTCTCTGGACATTCAGACACTCCGACCCTTACGCAGCCGCATGCTACAATTTACTGCATTATTTTGACGGCGGTAAATGGGGTCGGCACGCTTGGGTTCTGATCAAGGAATACCTTCAATCGGGTGGATTAGCGTCCAAATTCAATGACTAGTGAGTCACCTTGGTATTTTACACCCCCCAATACTGTTTCCTTATTGAACTTTCCGAAGCATGAATCAATTCCCACGTTGGAGAGGGTTGAAACATATTTCTTCTCCCACAACTATAGATTATTCTGAAGGCCAAACATTTGTGGATATCTTGAAGGTAAGTCCGTCAAAATCCTTTCTCAAACTGCGACTAATTTGTGCCAGTGCGCATTACCTTGTCTTGTACAGCTACTTCCGTGCAACTCGTGCCTGGTTCGCCTTGTGCGTGCGATGCAGAAAACCCGCATAATGTTGGGTCTTTCCGTTACAACGAGGACACGGCTGGACCACCTCAATGATCTAGAGCGTGAGTATGAAGGTGCCTGTAATGTTTGTAGTCCACTCCATTATCTTTCTCCAGCTGATCTTTGTGAAGGAGGTTCACGACGCGCTCGGGAAAGACTTCAACTTCCTGAAGCAGCATTCGCTCTCGCATGCGATTGAGGATTTCATGTCAAAGGGGACCAGCCGAAATATGAACACACGAGTCGGTGAGGGCTTTCAACAGGAGGTCGAGAAGATGTACCAAAAAACAAACGGGAAGAATGCGGAGCATCAGGTGAGTGATTATTTCTCAATTAACTCGAAGTACTCACTCGTTGGTCGCATAGATTAGCGTGCAAGATGAGAGAGAGGAGGCGATGGCTCGGGTAAAAATGGCTATCGATGAATGGCGCAAGTCCCAGACAGATGCTGATTTGGAAGCGAGTGAGCTTGCCACAATCCCCGGGGCAAGTGGACATTGGAAACTCGGATCCCCTGTCCCTCTGGTCTCTACGCACCCGCTGGAGGCAGAACGGAAGACCGATCCAGCGTTCCGAGAGTTCAATATGCGTCTGCGGGAGTATATTGCACAATACCATCCGACATCCCAAGTTCGACTAGAGCAGCAGATCCAGGTAAGTTTATCTTGTTTCCCCTTCACCCAAGCACTCAACCCATTCAGGTTCAACAGTGCAAGGTTATTTACGTGGAATATCAGTCTCACGTCGATTGGAGAAGCGCACGGGATATCCTACGCTGTAACCCGCAGTTCCATGATGCTCCCCGCTTCGATTCGGTCATCTACGAAGATGGCAATGACTCGGTCGCGATGGGCCAGTTTCATTTTCTTCTCCGTTGTCATCTCCCAGGCGGCGCCACACTCGACCTAGCGATGGTGCAGCCTTATGGGAGGTCACTTTGGCAGCCCAACACTCGCACCGACCGCCCGATACGCTCGAAACTACCGCTGAAAAGCTGTCATTTTATTTCGCTTGAGCACATCGTCCGCGGTGTGTTACTTGCGCCCATTTTTGGGGGCAAGGATGGAATGTATTATGTAGTAGACTGTGTTGACGAGGGAATGTATCTGCGCATTATTGCAGTTTGCATATGAGTTGGAAAACACGTATCAACTGAAATTTCGCACGTTTGAGTTGCCAGAGTAGTTAGATTGTTTCTCGCTCAATTCTCAACGGATTCCAATGAAACCATATGCAAAATTTACCGGTTAAGCAGGCGCATTTTATGGTGGTAAGATTATGTTGTGGTATGAGGTTTAGGGTATTTCGGTTTCCGCCAGCCATCCTCCGGCGCGTGGATTTATGCGGTGAGTTCTGAACCGTTTCGCGTGGAATAAATCGGGCATTGGAGGCATATTACATCCCAGAATTCACTCCACAATTTTGGGAGTACCTGCGCAAGAAACGCGATCGCGGCGACGCGTCGAATTACACAAATCAACGCTTTGGTGACTCGGGTGACGTCGCGTCACATTCTCTGCTCTTTACCACTTCCTCATGCCGCCCAGGGCCACTACTAGCAAGCGCAAGGCTTCAGCTCCGCCTGCTTCACCCCCG